TTTACAATTACGGTTAAAATAAATAAATAAATAAAAAATATACATTGTGTGTGTGTGTGTGTGTGTATTGCACGCAACATGTACCATGTTCATTATTCAAACATACATGGTGCGGCCAGATGATGATGAGGATGATGATCTCTGAACACATAATAATCTGGCCATTCAGTGTCTATCCTATAGAATAAATGGCTAATATGCAAATTGTCCCCTCCACCATCAGGCAGGCCGGCCAACTGCCCATGTCCCCTCCCCCTGGCCAGGCTGGCTGGACCCCACCCATGCACAAATTCATGCACCAGGCCTCTAATACACACACACACACACACACACACACACACACACACTGAATGGCCAGATTATTATTAAATTTATTTAATTAAAAAAAGATATATTTTATTTATTTATTTATTTATTTACTTATTTATTTACAGGGAGGAAGGGAGAGGGACAGAGATTTAGAAAACACCCATCAGCTGCCTCCTGTACACACCCTACCGGGGATGTGCCCGCAACCAAGGTCCATGCCCTTGACCGGAATCGAACCCGGGACCCTTGAGTCCACAGGCCGACGCTCTATCCCCTGAGCCACGCCGGCTAGGTCATGCATGTGCATGTTTAATGTCCTTTCCTCCCTGCCAGCTCCATCCTTGTACTCAGAGCCGCTCCTCGGAACAATGGGGGAGACTCAGGCCCCTTCCCGTCAGCCCTGCCAGCTGCCCCCCAGCCGTCCGGCTCTTAAGGGGAGAAGACACTGAGTGATGAGCCACGGTGCCCTCCCCAGCATCAGGCAGAGAGAGGGTGGGGGAATGGTTAGCACCTGACGCCCCACAAGGACCACCCTGGGAGGTGGTTCCCATGGCGATGGCCTGGCCGGGGTCAGCCTGGCCCTCTGTTTCTCCTCCTCCCGTTTCCCAGGTTGGGCTCGGCTCTGGTTTGAGCTGAACACACCGGCTCCCTGCGGCGTCGGGGCCACCCCCGTGGTGAGCAGACGGCGTTGGCCTCCACGCACGGCTCTCTCTCTCTCTCTCCGGTAAAACATCCCTCCGTTGCCGGGCGGGAGGCCGTGGCCCGGAGCCAGATGGAACAGCGGGAGGAGGAGGGGCCGCGGCCGTGGGCTCCTGGGAATCGGGCCTAAATGGCCGAGCGTACACAGTGGCCCGGTGCCAGGCCGAGCCGAGCCGGTGAGAGCAAACAGGCTCCCCGGCCGGTGAGAGCAGAGGCCGGAGTCGCCCGCCCCGTCGGGGGCCTGGCCCTTCGCGCTGCCCCGCCAGCTTCCTGCCTCCACCCTCAGGGCGCAGGGTTCTGTGCTGTTGTCTTTTCAAATTTTTAAAAATTTAACTTATAAAAACATTTTTATTGATTTTTTACAGAGAGGGATAGAGAGTCAGAAACATCCATGAGAGAGAAACATCCATCAGCTGCCTCCTGCACACCCCCACTAGGGATGTGCCCGCAGCCAAGGTCCATGCCCTTGACCAGAATGGAACCTGGGACCCTTCAGTCCGCAGGCCGACGTTCTATCCACTGAGCCAAAGGGGTTAGGACTCCCCATTGATTTTGAGAGAGAGAGAGAGTGGAAGGGAAGGAGGGAGACAGAGAGAGAAACGTCGATGTGAGAGAGACACATCCATCGGTGGGCT